AACTGAGTGACCCATCGTGTACTTCTCAACACACGAAATCATTAGAACAACCCACCAGTGGAATAAAGATACAGGACACAAAACCAGTGAAACCCGATATGACCTGGAGAGGTTGACAACAATAACACAGTATGTCTTCCTGTTTACACTTAGACATCACTTTCAAGTAAAAATTAATGTACTTAAAACAGGTTTTATTGTCGTAAAAAGCAAAAGGATTGTGCAAAAGAGATAAATAGAATTTCCATAAAAATATGACGTTATGATAAACACATACACTTACATCATATACACTAATATATTACAACTCATTTTTATTAATAGTAAGTTTATTAGTGTTGGTCGTGTCAATAGTCAGCCCACTGCTTCACAACACTCTCACTCTCTCGACTGTTCCAAAGTCCTTCTCTCGACTGTTCCACATACGTGCGTACCATGACCTATCTGAAGAAAAGACAGAGGACTCGAGGGGATTGTCCTTAAAGTGTTTTCTTGGAGAAAAAAAGTCGCCTTTCTGATATAACAGAAGAGTGATTACGTAAAGTGTCATTTTCCATACCTCAAAAGATCTGATTTGATCAAAGAAAGGTCAACGAACTGAAACGTCGGTACGATTAAAATCGATGAAACGATTTACGACTTCGAAACACTCTACATATTCCATCACAGTTTCAAAGAATGAGTAAACACAGGCATTGATAATCGCTTTTGAAATGTCTACACAGACAATAATTTACAATTATTTAGACATCAGAGATAGCGTTTCGTCTGTAGTAGTTCCAAGCTATTAAACATCGCGAAGACAGTGGCACCGAAACTAATATCCCTCAAAGTTCGCAACACATTGGTGAATGCTTTGTAAACTAAACGTTGAGGTAACGGGTATGTTTTTACAAATAGAAAGTAAAAAAAATACTCTGTATTGTTCAATTATTTAACCACTAAAATCAGAATGATTTAGCTGCGATGATGAAGACCTAGATTTATCCCAGCAAAATATTATTATTATTATTACGTTCTTAACATCCCGTCAACACATAAAAGGTCATAAGAGTCATCAACCAGTGAAACACACAGCTATCCAAAACGGAAATAATCTTAAACAAACTATACGGTAGAAGACAAATACTAAAACTCTTAAATGGTTTAATATCACAAAAGATTATAATGGTAACCCAGCAAACTAGGATTAAGTGATTAACCTTGTAACAATGTATATACAAGTTAATCTGACTTATATGTATATTCTTAGAACGACGCCATCAATTTTCTTAACCCTCTACATGTATATGGGATTACGTGAGCTTAGCAACAGTTTTCTTGGACACAATAGAAAATGTATGGACCAATGATGATAAGTCAAGTGTGATATGTTACATGACGGGGACATCCAGACAATTTAGTTCCAGCCATTACAAATCGCGACAACCCTGGTTCCCAGTTCACAGCAAACGATGTGGTGACAAATTCCCTGTTATCGGCTTGCTTCCGACCGGCGACTGGGAGTGTCCTCTGTCGGATAAAAACAGAATTCGCTTATTTAACGTTATATGTAGCGTGGAGTGAAGCCATCAGATAGTTTAAGCGCGTGTGGCTATGTGCTGAGTAACGCACTGAGATGACATGAGGTTTGATATACTTGAAGCACCCCATCAGCGACCATACCAGTAAGGATATCTTAAACCTCGTCCACGAAGACGGATAGCATGTCTGCAGATATGTCAGGTAAGTGTTTAGTCGCCGTGTACTCTTTGTATAGATGTTCACAACATGAAGGAGAGAGACAGAGAGCAAGAGGGAAAAAACGATATGTTTAGTACGTTATCTAGTTTTTTTGCACAAGGTAGGCCCGTGTTTCTGTCTACAAATGTCATTGCCCCGTAGGCATCTGTATCGATACGACAGATACACATATACTTAACACATGTCAAGTGCTCGGTGAATTAGCAATTAATTTACTAAGATAGTAGATAGCTCGCATATTTCTGGTAGATCGTTTCCATCTGTTTCCTGTTTATTGTCCTACAGATTAAAACACTCTATATCCCTAGCTTTATTTTACCTGTTCTTCGTTATTGATCTGTGACGTATCCAACACATTTGTTTACATTCTACCGTTGGTTTGGTTAACCCGCCACTATTTTGTTTATTAATGAGATGCTGTATATCGTCCTTCCCGCTTCTCCTTAATAGTCCAGTTTGAAAGGAAATATTGTATCCTTTACATACTCAATGACGCCTCAGAATTAAGTTGGAAAATAAAAAGGTAATTAAAATCCGGTAAGAGTTATGAATTATAGAAAACATTGTGTGGGCGTTGAAACATATGGAACCTGTCATTTGTGTCAATTTATACGTCATCAATATCTTGTGATGAACATATTAATTATTCACAAGTATAAAGTAGATTACTTTTTATTTTACATAAGATATGTCTGATCGCCATCACATGTATCATAGTTATCTGTACGTACTCAGAAAAACACCACAGATGCATTAACATGTAGTTATGGCTGTCACAAGGAATGTTACAAACGCGCCAAACGACACCCGATGCATGTAATATTGTGTCACGGCATAAAAATGACCTCGAGGTATAACTGATTATACCGAAGTGTTCCACGATTTAACACATAACCGTAAATCAAATTTGGCAGATCCAGTTTCTAAGTCCTAAAGCTTTTTACACCTAATGTTGTGGTTCCTTAATTCGATCTAAAAAGATTTGCGTTATAGCGTTATAATTCGGAAATCTTTAAGACTGACTAAGTAAATCACAAAAGTAATGTACTTTAAAATTCAAAACGATTTTATGGAAAACTCGAAATTCTTAAATTCTTTAAACGAAGGTGTATGCATATTTCATGATGTTCTGTCTAGACATTTGAGTTTGGACTCTTCCAAAAATAAATCACAAAAGAAATTTTCTCGTAAAGGCTTGAAACCTAGTGCAACTTTATCGATAATGATTTTTTCTCTAACACATTCCTGACAAAACAAAACAAAAAAAACCCCAAACAAATGGTACGTTAGACCATGTTAGAAATACTGATTTCCAAATATATGTTATGTACATAACGATTTATTCAATTGCTTCCGGGTGTGTATATGTACTTGTACCTTGTATGATATGTTGGTTACGCTTATTTCCGGGATATATGTTTATGATGTATCGGTAATACTTATTTCAGGGTGTATGTATGATGTATCGGTAATACTTATTTCAGGGTGTATGTATGATGTGTCGGTAAAACTTATTCCATGGTGTGTGTATGATGTTTCGGTAATACTTATTCCATGGTGTATGTATGATGTATCGGTAATACTTATTTCACGGTGTATGTATGATGTGTCGGTAATACTTATTCCATGGTGTATGTATGATGTATCGGTAACACTTATTTCATGGTGTATGTATGATGTGTCGGTAACACTTATTTTAGGGTGTATGTATGATGTGTCGGTAAAACTTATTCCATGGTGTGTGTATGATGTGTCGGTAATACTTTTTTTGGGGTGTATGTATGATGTATCGGTATGTATGATGTGTCGGTGAAACTTATTCCATGATGTGTGTATGATGTGTCGGTAAAACTTATTCCATGGTGTGTGTATGATGTGTCGGTAATACTTTTTTTGGGGTGTATGTATGATGTATCGGTAATACTTCTTTCATGGTGTATGTATGATGTGTTTGTGATACTTATTTCCGGTGTGTTTATTTAATGTGTTTATTATACTTATTTCCGGGGTGTTTATTTGATGTGTTTGTTTGACTTATTTCGGGTGTGTGGGATGTGATTGCTGTATATATCTCCTTATGTATACAAAGTAACACTGACAAGCTTCCTGCAGTTCTGATAACAGTTATGGAATTGATTGAGGGGTTTATTAATCGTTGAAAGTTTTTTAAGTCCCAAGAACGACATGGTACATATACTACACCATGTTTGTAGTGTGACTTGTAGGTTTGTCTCTCGGGAATAAATGAAACCTTGAGCCACGGACTAGAACCAGAGTTTACATACATTGATTAAGGTTGAATTATTGAAAAAATTAAACACATAATCATATCAAGACTTGTTGTTAGGTCCTATCCCCGCCACCCCCACCCCTCGTATCAAATGACGAAGAGTTCAGTGACTTTTACACGTGAAGGTAATATTCTCTACTCATTCCGTGATTCTTTTAACACGTGTGTGACATTTTAACACGTGTGTGACATTTAAACCCCTGTGTGACGTTTAAACCCGTTGCCACTGGTCATTTCCGGGTAGACCATTCGGGTCATACCTTAGGTTAACAGTAATCTTACTTCTCCGCACACCTGAGACGGCCAAGTAGGCCAAGACAGGTGTGTTGTATATGTACATTTAACTTTGTTTACTTTCGTGTCGTAAATTTCACACTGTAATATTTGTGTGTAGATGGTATTGTATGAAACAGCACTGTTATATAGTTGGAACCGCCTGGAATAGCAAGGTAAAGTCAATACTGGAAATACTGCAAATTACTATTAATAACTTTATATGATTCATAATCAAAGATTCATTCAAGCCGGTCAGAATATGTTGAACTTGTTTTAAAGGGTGTGGCCAATAGATAGATAACTGCATGGGCGTTTAATATGAAAATGGACGCCTACAAATCTGTATGATTCAGTATATCTTAATAATTATGTTTTATACGCCACATGTACAGACAGAAAAGGCGAGATTTTACTTATATGTTTATATAGACATCCGGTATGTGTATGTACATACTGTAGCTGGTAGTTGTTGTGCATGCTGGTGACCCTTACATTCCAGAATATAAACCTTGAGGTTGCGATAAGTAGTTATGTCACTAGAAACAAAACAAGGCTCTGTCATGGTCGAATGCATAAGTAGATTGTATAAAGGATTGTAGATTATGAACATAAAACTAAGGAAAAACATGTATCATGTGTAAAAAGACGCTTCATTTTGTTTCGTCATGGTTCGTTTATTTCAGACGAAAACATGTCCTCGTTTCTCCGATCAATCCGGCGAACGGCCTCGCGGCTGACTGGATGGAAAAGAAAGAAGCGTTCCAAACGACGGCAAAAAATGGAAGAGGAAGCTATGGCAGATCTAGAGAGTTCCGAACAGAAACCGCAGACGACACAAGCGTCAGATATCATCAATGAATGCAAGCCAGGCATTGATAGTCAGGACGGGAATGCGCTCGAGGGTGACACAACTGTTGAAATCCATACTTCGGTGCGGCGAGGAGCAGACGACTTACAGCAATACAAAGACTCCGATAACAGTGAAATGGAGGGATTAGACAGCTCAAACGATTCCGAAAAAGACACCGAAATTACTGGAAATAAAAAGTCTGCAAAACAATGGAAACTGCGCAAGAAAATAAGCGAGACTCTTTTACATCCAGACTTGGAGAATTGTGATCCCGAGATATGTGTGGAAATCATAACTTTACCTACTTTCAGCATGAAGTCTTTGAGTTCGTTAAAAAAGAAGATTGAGCACAGTAAGGCGGATTGGATCCAGGGATTTTTGGATAACGGCGGATTGGATCGTTTGTTTGATATCGTTGACAATGTTGGGAGTAAGAGAGTAAACCAATTGTCAGACGCCATGCTCCTACTGGAATGCGTAGCTTGCATCAAGAGTGTTTTAAACTCCAGACTCGGCTTGGATTACCTGGTACTGAACGGAGCTTACACCAAAAAGCTTGTCAAAGGTGAGTAAGTTTTTCCCACAGGTACCAGTCACTATGTATGGCTGACTATATATCACAGTAAAAATCAACCAAGACCGGTACATTCGCTTTAAAAAGTCACGTAAAAACATGGTTCTTGATTTCCGACTGTAGGACCACATATTAGTTAGTCAGTCTAGGCTATGCCTGTTGGCTGTCAATTTAATTTACCAGAAATAGTGGTGTGCCCATAGAGGGAAATCTTCATTCTTCTACAAGACTGTTGTAGCATAAAAAATGACCCTTAAAACACGATATGGAACGACATGCTAATATAAGGTAGTATAGTCACCGCGCTTTCTATTGATTAAAAGACCATTTCTTTCCTTCAGCATAATTGATCCCAATATACAAGTTTCAAAACAAATAAATGCATTCGAACTGTTAAGAATATTCATGCTACTTATTTATATTTGATCAGTAAATGAAATGAGATTTAAATCGTTTTTGCAAAAAATATCAAAGACGCTTATAACACACTCACCGAAAAACGTCTCTGTCTGTTATGTCCTGTACAAGACAGGTAACATCCTTACCATAGAACGGTAGAACGGAAAAGTTGATAGATACAGTTCACAAACCTTCAACACATAAATGAGTACACTATTCGGATTTCAACTGACGACATTTTTAGTGTAGTAAACAGCATTGAAGATGTAAAACAAAACAAAAATTCGTGACTAGACTTCATTTAAAACAAAGAGACTTTGATATCAAAATACTTAACAGCTTTATACGCTGCACGTATTATTCAACTGTGTGGTTTACATGTACTGCTGTTGCGTAGTAGAGCTGGGAGTCCGTGGTGACTTTTCTGATCGACACGCTAATGTAATTGTTTTAAACTGGACAGTGGAGTCCATCCGTAGGGATCATCCGTTTGTTTGCTGTACGTGTTTTCTTGACTAAACCCTAACACGTTTTGTGGGGTGACCCCTACATTACCTGCTTTATCACATTCAACCCTTTAAACATGCATTTATCAAGTACACCACACCACGTGACAAGAACCATGACTATAATGGACAAATCAACCAGCACTATTACGAAACCCGCGGTAAGAAACCGGTTTATGTAGACAAGTTATCTGTAAAACCGCAGAAATGAATCACCCCGAGCTGTGTGTAAATTTTACAAATAAAGCATTCTTGTGAATGTGCGACCGTATGAAACCTCAGTATGTTATTGTTGTAAATATGTTAGTGTTAGGTTTTTTTTCTTTTGACACTTTGAAAGCCATTCATGAACCCAAGTCAAGATAAAATGCATTTCGTGGTAACTAGGATTTTTAAATTGTAAGGAGTGTGAGTGTGGGCGACTGCACCTTTACTTTATCCGGTAACCTGCCCCTATCCTGACTTTGATAATAATGACATCGGATATGTTAATTATGTAATTTGTCTTGTCAGCAGATTGGATTTGTCAACTTTTGATTTTCGATCTAAGACACCTCATTAATATTCTCAATTTAATTTTTCATGTTCTGGCTAGCCCATCTACATTGGCGAAAATTAATTACAACTGTATCCGTCTTTGTGTTATCACACGCCTAATATAATATAAAATAATATAATATAATATAGATACAATATAATGTAATACAATATAATATAATATAAATGTAATATAATATAACAATTAAATGGTCAATGTATCGTTTAATATCGAAATAGAAATTAAAATTGATTGTTCATTATCAATTACATGATAAGAACAGCTGTATTCTGGACACTAGTTCCAGCTAATGATTTGTAAATACTATATTGTGTAGATACAATCTCATATGATAAACTTTCCTATTGCCTAAAATCCTTTATTCTGTATATCAATAAAACGGATGGCCTCAGACCGCCGTTACCAGACGAATGTGCAGTGGTTAGATCTGAAATGTTAACAACACCAGCCATCAGATTCTCATGTCTGTATCCGTTATGAGGTAGGTGTGATAACTGATAAAACACTACAAACATCACCCCACGTGCGTTACCTAATCCATTTAGCATTTAAATTTTTGTTTTTAATTCTAGATTTTCAGTTGTTGGTTGCAGAGTTTACTTTAAAAAAAGACCATAATCTGTTGAAAATGGCATCAGGTTGAGAACACCAATGAAATCTACTCCATGAATTTAATTTGAAGTTCGTGACAAATCTGATGTTGTCATCACTAGGGAGAATTCAATATATCTATTGTTTTACAGCTATTTCACTCGACCGATCATATGTTATTCATGAACATAGAGACAGGCACCATGAAAAATTAAACATGAAAATCAATGATAGTTTGAAGTTCTATATGAAATAATAGTTATATCACATTGTATCTGTTACAGTGTTTGCGCATGTCACTGACATGTGAATGTTGTCCAGGTAATATTGTACATATCACGTGCTCATTAGATTTTATGTGACTTAGGGATACATTTACCTGTTCCTTAATAAGTATTTACAGCATATAGATAACTGATAAGCGGAAATAATATATATTAATAACCAAGAGAACGACAGGTTGCCGAGGTTACTAATAAGCTAAGATGTGATTTGGCAACTCAAAAGCAAAAATACGAGAAAATGTATACAGATGAATGGAAAACGTGTTACATTTTGAAGGCAATTAGTAAGCGAATAGATAGTCGTTTTTTTCGGCGATTAATTAATAATTAACGAGCTATTTCAATGAAGTCAATACTATATTTCAAATAAATGGAGACGTTTACTTCATGCACGTTTCAATAATAACGCTGTAATATGATATTTTGCAATTTGACAATGTTATCATTATCATTATACGGCCAGTCAATATACAGACACGCTATGTCGAAAACAGGAACGTTATGTCAATATACAGTTACATTATGTCGAAAACAGGAACGTTATGTCAATGTACAGTTACATTATGTCGAAAACAGGAACGTTATGTCAATGTACAGTTACATTATGTCGAAAACAGGAACGTTATGTCAATGTACAATTACATTATGTCAATATACAGTTACACTATATTGATGTACAGGTACGTTATATCAGTGTACAGGAACGTTATATCTATGTACAGGTACGTTATATCAGTGTACAGGTACGTTATGTCAATATACAGTTACATTATGTCGATGTACAGGTACGTTATATCGATGTACATGTACGTTATATCAGTGTACAGGTACGTTATATCAGTGTACAGGAACGTTATATCTATGTACAGGTACGTTATATCACTGTACAGGTAAGTTATATCAGTGTACAGGAACGTTATATCTATGTACAGGTACGTTATATCTATGTACAAGTACGTTATATCAGTGTACAGGTACGTTATATCAGTGTACAGGAACGTTATATCTATGTACAAGTACGTTATATCAGTGTACAGGAACGTTATATCTATGTACAGGTACGTTATATCAGTGTACAGGTACGTTATATCAGTGTACAGGTACGTTATATCAGTGTACAGGAACGTTATATCTATGTACAGGTACGTTATATCAGTGTACAGGTACGTTATATCAGTGTACAGGAACGTTATATCTATGTACAGATACGTTATATCAGTGTACAGGTACGTTATATCAGTGTACAGAAACGTTATATCAGTGTACAGGAACGTTATATCAGTGTACAGGTACGTTATATCTATGTACAGATACGTTATATCAGTGTACAGGAACGTTATATCAGTGTACAGGAACGTTATATCAGTGTACAGGAACGTTATATCAGTGTACAGGTACGTTATATCAGTGTACAGGTACGTTATATCAGTGTACAGGAACGTTATATCTATGTACAGGTACGTTATATCAGTGTACAGGAACGTTATATCAGTGTACAGGAACGTTATATCAGTGTACAGGTACGTTATATCAGTGTACATGTACCTTATATCACTGTACAGGTACGTTATATCACTGTACAGGTACGTTATATCAGTGTACAGGAACGTTATATCAGTGTACAGGTACGTTATATCAGTGTACAGGTACGTTATATCTATGAACAGGTACGTTATATCAGTGTACAGGTACGTTATATCACTGTACAGGTACGTTATATCAGTGTACATTTACCTTATATCACTGTACTGGTACTTTATGTCTATGTATATATAGACACATTATATTAATGTATAGGTGTACGTACAGTTGGTACATTATAAATGGAAGGTATGATAGAATGATGGCTGTTTTGTTTACAGTGTGTATTTCGGTATTTGTTTTCCAGCACACTTGAGTGTAAAATTGGATTAAATAATGATTTGCTATCGGCTACAGCCAACAATAACAAGTATATATGTGTAAGTACACATATGTTGTATACAGGATATGACATGGACTGGTAGTTTTATCTGAATAACACTTTATTTATACAATCACTATTTCTGTCACGCTTCTCTTAGTTTTCCCGGGAGATTGGTGCAATAAAATTGCCTGTGACAAGGTTTTGATATTAATAATAGTTTGATATTTGTTCCCAGGCAATTTTATCCAGTTATTGCTCTGTGATAGCATCCGATGTGGATGAATGCTTAATGTTGATTAACGACGTCCGATCTGTATGTGTAAAACATACTACAACTAATTCCCCCGGGGAAACTTAGTTTTTTTCTTATCAAATCATTATACCACAAGGTTTAGTTTTGAAACCCTGAAGAAAATAAACATTCTAAATGTATTAAAATATTGATCAGGCTCCCGAATTGCCACAAGAAATAAAGGACACTTGTTATGATAATCGACAATGGTCGGTCACGATACAGTCTCCTCATCCTGAAAAAAATGGTAGAGGTGTCCGAGAAATTATTACTAAAGAGCACTACCGGATGTCGTAAGGTGCTAGGTAGAATTTTTGCAACATCGACAAATTACGGAATAGGAATGTGGTACCTCATGATGATGGAAATATTTAGGTTGTTTGCCACCAAATAAGGAGAATTAAAAGTGACCGCTTGAGGAAGTATTACGGAACAGTAACCATTTATCACATAA